TATTGAGGTTGCTCCATGCTGTGCTTGGAGTCTGAAGACCTGGATGCTATAGAACCAGAACCACCCCTAACTGTGCCTGGGAGTAAAGTCACGTGACTTTCCTGAGCATCTTTTTTCTTACCAATAGGATGGAAACAGTGAGACCACTTGTGCTTCATCTATAAAGAGGAATGGGCAGTAGATTTTAGGAGTAAGCAATATGATGCATGTAAACATGCCTTGTGGATGTATGAGATAGAATAAGAGATTACCCTGACTATAGAGGACATTTCTTTTTTTAGATTGAGAGGGAACCAATAGAAAGCTAGTTTTTCTGTTGAATCTCAGTTTACTTTGAATCAGACAAATTTGAAACTCAGGTTAAGGATTAGAGCCTTACAAAGTCACATTTTCCTGTACCAGATAGAGTGTCCCAGCTTCCTTCATCTACACGAACTGGATCTTTCCTAGTTCTGCTCTGTCCAGATTGCTTCTGAGATGGTGTTATAAGGCACAGTGCAGACATGTAACAAGTAGGACAGACTGTTGAACCCACTGGCTATACTTGTAAGTCAGATAGGAATCACTGGCAGCGTTGTCATTTCTGTAAAGAAAGTTATCCTAAAAGGAAACTTATGTAGCATATCTTTTAGCATAAATTGATCATCAGAGGATGTCAAGACTTCCAGAACTAAGATCTTGGCAGTGTCGATGGCTAAAGCAAGAGAGTAGTGTGTGTGTGTGTGTGTGTGTGTGTGTGTGTGTGTGTGTGTGTGTGTCAATTAGAATATACTGAACCCATGAAGAATTTGAGACAGTTCTCTCCTGACCTCTGAAGATTTCCTGGGTGGCAAGTTAATTGCTCACAAAGTGATGATGCTTTCTTTTCTTAGTTTGGGTGCTCGCCTATAAGTGGCCTGGAGGACGGGATGATGGTGGAGAGGAATAGTATGACTCAGCTAATTTCTTGTTACCTAAGCCCAGGGTAGTGACCTTCTCACTTGCAAATCAAGGGCCAAAGGCTCCACATAGAGGAGTGCTTTTTACGTTTGACTTCTGACTGGAATTGACAAAGACATGCCTTAGTTAATACTTTTATTACTTCTTAAGGCAAAATGACTTAGTTTTTAAAGGCACAAAAGATTATGCTGCCTTAGAATATCTGAGAGGATAGAGTCAGTGTTTTCTTTCTAGAGTTTGTTTAGCAATGAAAATGGACCGACCGATCCTTAAGCCAATCAAAATAAAGCAATTGATAGATTGTCTTAAGCGCTTTTCCTTTTTTTATTTTGATATGAAATTCTTCACCCGTTGGAGCTCATAACGCCTCTTCCAACATTTGGACTCTACGTTGCCTTCCTTGTCTCCTGGCTGGATGGACTGAGAGAGGAGAGAGAAGGGAATGCTATATTCTAGAATTAGTTGTCCAGAGTGCTGAGCGTTTGGTGTAATGATTCATAATGCTTTGTGTTTCCAGGCAGTGGACCGATCCAGTTGTGGCAGTTTCTTCTGGAATTACTCACTGATAAATCCTGTCAGTCTTTTATCAGCTGGACAGGAGATGGCTGGGAATTCAAGCTTTCTGACCCAGATGAGGTAAGAAGGGAGTGACTTGAGAGAACTGTATTAGAGAGAACTCTGGAAAAGGGTTGTGTGGGTCTGGTGATATTTTTCTAGGATTAAAACCTCCAGCAAGTTACTTAGCCTATCTGAGCCTTAGTTTCATCATTCGGAAAACAGAGAAAATATCTACAATGCCCAGTTGTTTTCCAACTGATGCAATGCACATAATAGTAGGTACATAGTAGCCCTAAGTAAATATGAGTTGCCTTCTCTGACTTAGCATTTTCTTGGCCTGATGGCTCTGTGACTCTGAAAGGAACCAGACAGAGGCCTTCAAGAGGCCTTGGAAGATTGGTACAATTTGTTAATTAGTTTATTCTTTCACTCAGCAAATGCTTATGGACTGGTTACTCTGTGCCATGCCTAATTTTAAGAATTAAAAAACTAAAACAATGGACAAAACATACAACATTTCTGTTCTGGCAGACATGAGAAGATATTGTGCCCCAGAACAGAACAGCTTTCTGCTGGGCAAAGGCTGGTACGATTTTAGCTCAGTTCTCCTCACCCAGCCCTTGAAAATTAGAATTCAGAGGAGATAGGTCAGAAAAATATCTTCTATGTACATGAGTTTCTAATAATCTTACTTGAACATCATGAGTCACTGTGAATGGGTACAGGCATACGAGCATGTAAATTTGTCTTATTTTATAGAATTTTACCCTTTTTTTTTTTTTTTTTTAATTTCAGGTGGCCAGGAGATGGGGAAAAAGGAAAAACAAACCTAAGATGAATTATGAGAAACTGAGCCGTGGCCTACGCTACTATTATGACAAAAACATCATCCACAAGACAGCGGGTAAACGCTACGTGTACCGCTTTGTGTGCGACCTGCAGAGCCTCCTGGGATACACGCCCGAGGAACTCCATGCCATGCTGGACGTCAAGCCCGATGCTGATGAGTGATGGACACCAAAGGGCTGGAAAACTCTGCTGAGACATTTCAAAGAACAACCATGTCGGTTGGACTCTTAATTTTTAATTGTTATTCTATTTTTAATTTTCCAGAACTCATTTTTTACATTCAGGGGTGGGAGCTAAGTGAACTGCAGCTATAATCAATTATGTGTGGTTGGAAAAAGGAGAACCAGGGCTGGTGGGGTGGGAGGGACAAGGAATTCTTGAGCATATTTTCAGGAGAGAGAAAAGGGTCTTCTTAGAAGCTTGAAGAATCTGGCTTACGGGAGGAAGAAACAAATGTGTCCAATCATTTTTTAAAATCGTACATGAAAAAAAAATGTGTCTCGAGTTGTGGACCTATTAACAAAATTGAGGCATCAGGAGTCATGAGACTGATGAAAGGCAATTCATTTGCTTCTGTTTTTAGGTCTAGGAGGCCAAAAAAGAGGGAGAAGGAGTAGAACATTTTGTTTGGGGGTTGCACTAAATCCCAAGGACTATTTACCTTTTACTGTACTTTTAAAACAAAGATGGACTTCAGTGGGGAGGGGCCAAAACTCTTTTTGTGTTAAAATTTATTTTATTAAATTTTGTGCCAGTATTTTTTTTTTTTTCTTAAAAATCGTCTTAAGCTCTAAGGTGGTCTCAGTATTGCGGTATCATACAAGTTTGTGTTTATTTGCTGGCTGAGGATTCTGTCACAGTGAAAGAAAACTGTTTATATAGACCCCACTGGAAATGCAAAGTGCTGTCACTGAGATCAGGGATCCCAAATTCATGCAGCTTACATGTGAAGGAAAAAATACTGACTTGGGTACAAGGGAACTATGCATGTGAATTTCATCTATAATTTAAAAAAAGTTATCATCACACCCCTTTACTTATTTGTCATTAGTGAATTTTTGGGGTCTTGACTTAATGTTGAGCTAAGAAGCATTAAGTCTTTGAACTGAATGTATTTTGCAGCCCTGGTTTGGACCACAGTAAATGTAGGAGCACTGTTAAAGCCATGGAAAGGAGCTTGAAGGAGAAAAATCGACTTGGTTCTTTATTGGTTCTGTACCTGTAACATATGACTTGGAATAAAAGCTGTGTGCATGGGCATTACCCCTCAGGTCTTAAGAAATAAGTCCTGAATGCATGTCGTTCCTAACTAACGCTCTACACTTTCTCCTTTGTGTCTTATTTTCCAAGCATCCCACATTTATTGTCCCCCACCCCCATGATTCAGTAGAGAAATGTACAGCTTTCTGATTGGTGAATGCAAGGGTGCAGACATGACATGAGTTGAAGAGTGTCTGATAAAGCCATTAGACTCACTGGTTTTAGGAGAGATGGAAATTAAGGGAGCATATGCATTAAATGGGGCTTGACTGTCTTTGGGAGGAGAAATGAAAGGCTTTCCTTTGAAGGACTTAGGCTAGTTGAGTGGGATGTCAGGTAAGACTGCATGCAAAGTGAATAAGGCAGCCGCTTTTGTACTTGGGTCTGTTATCATGGCCACAGGGTAAGAGAAGGTTAATAATTGCAGAAGAGAGGAATGACTTGAAGGCAAAGGAAAAAAGAAGAGAAGGAGCTTGAATGAAGAAAATAAGGCAGGCCATGAGATTTGAGTATATTTTCAGTTCCCTCATCATGTAACTACAAGCTTAAATAACTGAGGCAGTTGTGAAGGATAATCTGAAAATTGGGTTTTTGGTCGGGGGACCAACATCTAACTAGTGAAGAAAAGTTTCTAATTCAATCAGAATCCCCCCACTATGTAGATGCCCAATTCAAAAAGGATGGCAACAATGGGGCAGCTTTATAGACTTCAGAAAGAGAGGCAAAGGCGTTTAGGATGGGCTTCTCAGGGCTCGCCTTTCTTGGGCTCTAGTTGAGAAACTGGAAGTACTAACAACCTTCTAGCATATCTTCAAGAAAGTGGATTGTTCACTCCTAGGTCTTCTTGCAGACCCTAATTATCAGGAACTTAGCTCTGTGATTTATGAGTTTCCTCATACTGATACAATGGAGAGTCCACTTGGAAAGCAAAGGCAGAATTAGCCCAGTTGTATATTTTGATCTTCTTCCAAATGCAGGTGCCTTAATGAAGCTCTTGAAATATTTTAAGAGCTGCTCAGGGAGTGTTAGGCGGAACTGTTGGACTCCATTCTTTTTTCTTAGATTTTGTGATCTTTGTTGGGCACTGGCAAAGGGGTGTGTGTGTGTTTGTGTGTGCATGTGTGTGTGTGTGTGTGCAGACAAGCAAAACTGCCCGTTGGGCACTGGCAAAGGGGTGTGTGTGTGTGTGTGTGTGTGTGTGTGTGTGTGTGTGTGTGTGTGTGTGCAGACAAGCAAAACTGCAGCTAAGATAATACCTGGGTTATCTAGGTAAGTCTTTCCACATTTCAGTAATGGGCGAGAGTAGAACCAAGGCTGGGTATCGGTCATGGCTTGCTGTTTGCAACCGGGCATAAAATCACTTTCTCAACTCTTATCCATCTTTCCTATCACATTTATGCTGAAAACTCCCCTTGTGTGAGTGTGTCTTAACTCAGATAAGCAGATAAGGTATAAGAAAGTGCCTCCTCATGCTCCTCAGCCCGCTTGTTCACTCAGATGCCTTTCTCTATAGGTCCACCATTTTCAGTATTTATAGATAGTTTATTAGTTAAGACAGCTTTGTTGATCTGGCCAGATGCTTTTTCTCCTTCTGTCCAAAGGCCAGAGACCATCCCAGGAAGAGTGGTGGGTGGTTTATACACTGGAAATGCAGCAGAATTGTTGCATTTATGCTTTTTAAAAACACATGTCAGCTTCAGAGGAAGGATGGGCCAGTCTGGTTTAGCTGGGGGAAAACCTTATTTTCCTGGAGATGCCTTAACCCACATTGGTTTTGGCTGTAGGGTTCAGTCACTTTTGTTCCCTTCTCCATCTGGTGGGGGGTAGGGTGGACTTCCCTGCAGCGGAGCCCTGGTTTTGTGGTGATGGGGATTGGAGGTAGCATCCCAAGATCAGATGTGCTTTTCCTCACTTTGGAGATGAACACTCTGGGTTTTAGAGCATTAACCTGCCTAATCTTCGTGGTGAAAATTACGCCTTCATTCTTCTAGTCATGCTGTGCATGCTGCTTTCTCTGTTGGGGTCTATATAAATGTGTTGATCTCTTAACTACATTCCAAAGAAATTTCAAGGAACCAGAAATATATGTATACATATACATATATAAAATATATATATTAAAATGAAATTTGTGAAGAGGTAGAATGGAAAAAATTAGAAGGCATGAAATTTTGGAAGTAGAATAGATAGCACTTAGTCCTCTTAACTATTCCAAAGAAATTTCAAGGAACCAGAAATATATGTATACATATACATATATAAAATATATATATTAAAATGAAATTATCTCTATCAGGAATACTGCCTCAGTTATTGAACCTTTTTTAAGAATACTTTTTTTTTAAGCTGAGAAATATAAGGGTAAAACAGATGTTATATTGTGTTTGACTATTTTCCAACTTGTATTTTCATATAATTTATATTTTTTAAAAAGCTGAAAATTTAAAAGCGAGATGAAAAAAAAGGAAAAGCAGGTGCTTTTTAAAAATCAGAACTGAGGTAGCTTAGAGATGTAGCGATGTAAGTGTCTATGTGTTTTTTTTAAATGCAAAAAAAATTTCTTATGGGGGAGTTATTGTTTGTTTATTTTAGTAGCTGATGCTGGCACATCATTTTGCTGGAGAGTTTTTTATATACTGTAGCCTGATTTCATATTGTATTTTAAACTGTGTGAGATTAAAAACAAAAAAATTCATTCATAACGATGTGGGTTTGGCTTGATTCTTTCCTGTCTGATTCATGTATGAAAGCAGGACAAATTAACCAACCAGAGACAAGCACGAGAAGGGTTGTAACTCTGTCTTGCTGATCTCACTAGCTCTGGACACTTTCAGATAGATATTTCCCAATAAAGTGAGAACTATAGAAGGAATATAGGGAAATATGATCTCACATCCCAGTTATTAAATGTATAGTGTCATCCCTTGTGGAATTCCTTGGCTTTATCACACCTCATTTTCTTCATGTCTGAAGGACTAAAAGCCACGTGAAAAAATTTTTAATGACTTAACAGATAAACATCTGATTTCAACTTGGTAAAGTTCCTGATCTTAGCACAGAAAGTCAGACATCTTTTCTGATGCTCTGGACAGGAACAGTATTCTTGTTTCTTCTTTGGATATTAATTTTCTCTGTGCCAATTTGGACCCGTCACATCCATCTCCTTGACCCCTATTCTCTCACTGGGACTAGAAGTTGCAACCGATAATATCTGAACCCCTCAGAAACCCATGTCATAAATAAAATCATATTTAAAAATGCTCTGAGGAGAGCTTAGGAACCCATCCTGCATGGTGCTTTTCTCTTGTTGTTGAAACTGTAGAAAGTGGATGTTTTTAATTAACACCAGCATTTGCAACATGAATCCCAAGTCACAGCTGGAAAGAGAATTTTTGCTGAATTGTTCACAAAGAGAGCTCTGTTTTTGGAAAATCTGTTTCTTCGGGCCTAGAGCTTGAGGTTTGCTGAGTGCATGTTAAGCACTGACTGTGTGGTCTAGCGGTCAGGGAGCCCAGCTGGCCACAAGGAGGGCTCTGGGTCCATCCCAGTCAAGCTACCACTGCTTAGGGACTTGGGGAGGATGGCTTGAGGTCCTTGTGTTTTTCAGTCTTCAGCTACGAACCTGGGCAAAGCCACAACTCCTGAGCCAACCTAAGGCCACATCTGAGCTATTTTCCCCCTGAATAAACATACATAGAGAATAGGTTTCTGCCTGGTCAAGGATTTGGATAAAGAGCTTTCCTTCACTGCCAAGTTGCTGTTATCCCCCAAAGTATCTGATTTAATGCTGACCAGGTTAAAAGATACAACATGCTTGAATGAAATCAGCTTAGACCTCGTTTCTCAAACTAGGAGCTAAAGTTTAGCTGGGGAACTTCAGACAACTGGGTTTTGGTGATCTCTCTTAATGATACTGCTGAGACCAACATTTTGAAGCCGTAGTGGTGGGAGCTGGGGGAGAGAGAGTATCCTCTTAAACGACTGCAGGGGGTGGGGGAAATGGAGTAGGGTTAGTGTAGAAGGAGACACAGAGAAAGAGGAGTTGTTCAAAAGAAGCTGGTGGTGTAAAATCTATAGACTTGACAGGCTTTGGGGAGGCTGTGGGATAAGGAAATTGCCCATGTGGATCTGGCTTGCCCCTGTGATGGTTTTGGAGCAAGTTCTAGCACCCATCCTCCTCCCGTCAACACACACATACACACACACACACACACACACACACACACACACACACACACACACATTTGAGCAACAGAGCTTTCCTGTATAATGAAGTGTAACTTTTAACCAAACAAATGGAGTGTTGTAATTTCCGCTTTGGGTAAAATGAGATAGGCAATAGAGTCTGGAGGTTACACTGCGTGCCCGTGGGCTGATACTGCGCCATCGAGATATTCAGTGTGGCTACCAGTGTTGGGACTCAGCCCATGCAGCTCAAGCAAACAATGGACTGCAGTAGAGTACTGGATAGGTGGTCTTTGATTCTGGTTTTCCTTTTGAGGAAACACTCATGGACACTGAGTGGAAGCTGCCCCCTCAAGATGAACTTGAATCTCCTATTTTGTCTCTTGTAAGTCAGCCCTATGCATTTACGTTCCTGCCTGTAGAACTTGGATTTGTGACCCCTGTGAAAATATCTCTCCACATTCCATGTTTACTTGGCACGAAGCTCATCTTATTCTAGAACCTACAGTGGAAGAGAACAAGAAGTATCAGGTTCATCGGGACCATCTGATTTCTAAGCTCTGTTCCTTCCATGATGCCATGCTGCCACCGAAGAACTGTGAAAGGTCTCCTTTGGTGGTGCTAGCCAATGACTCAGCATCTGTGGGAGATACACCCCCAGTTACTAAGAGGTATACTTCACACACCAAATACGGGACAAGGCCAGTCTTCTTTCAGTAAGAAAGCTTTTCCACTTCCACGACCCTTTCCAACCTCTGCTTTTGCCCACTGGCTGCTCTGGAAGGTGGTTTGCAATACAGTTGTACGAAAGTCTTCCTGTCAATC